TGATCTGCATTATATTTCTCTTGGGCAATATTGCTTTATTCTTAGTTCTATCATTCAGTGGTGGTGTAACACTGATATTGCCATAAACCATTTAACTTCACTGGGACTTGATTTTCTTAAATGTAAAATGGAATCAGAAGTTGACAGATGATCTCTAAAGTCAATATACTTCTGTGTGCTTTTCCATCCCTATATTCTCAACACATGAAAGGGATGGTTAATGAATAGTATGTGCCATAATACTGTAAATGTCTGCAAAGGTTGCTATAAAATGATTACATTTTAAGGGATGCCTCTAACCATTAGAGAAAAGTGGATGAGGAGCTTTAGAAGAAAGAAATCAGGTTCATACCACCTTAAAGAGGAACACTGAAAATGATGTGTTTCATCATTGAATGGCATAAAAAAAAAACATACACACACACACACACACACACACACACACAAACACATGCCTGCACAAATACCACACATTTGGTGAAGGGGTGGGCATGTTAATTTTATTCAAGACTCCAAAATTCTAACCTTTTGTTTATAAAAAATATGGAGGATACAGAAAAAGTTAATCAGCACAACATCAGAAGTCTAATAAGCCCATTGAGAATGCAGCACCTTCTACAAGACAATAGGTTTGTTTTATTTAGAAAATACATAGCATTCTTTACAAAAATGTAGAGGAAGAGACTATTATAGATTGACTTAAGAATATAAAATCCAAATGCATTGTAAACTGCTTGTTTAGACCCTCATAAAAAGTCTAAAAGTAATTTTGAAGCAATCAAGAAAAGTGAAAGTGAACTATATATTAAGTAATGTTTTAAAATTAATGTAAACTAATATAATAATAGCAGTATGCGTGCATTTAAGAAGCCTCTATCTGTTATGGATGCATAACAAACTAGTAATTCAAGTAAGCTAACATGATACTTGGGGCTTTTTAAAAAATATAAAACACATTCCACCAAAAACAATATAACAGCAGTAGTAGGAAGGGCCACAAGGCTAGCAAGATGTGTGTAAAGTGGAAACTGGATGATAGAAATATTAGTGACCATTCTGTCTCTCCTTCTCTATGTGATAATTTGTTTAATAACTATAACTTAAGCCTCCAATAATTTGGAAGCAAGTCTCATGAGTAAATTGATGATTAAACAATATTATTCCATTTTGCTCTAAAACAATGTTGATCTCTGCTTACCTGAGAGGTTTTCTTTTGTGTTTTTGAAGGCAATTTCAAAAGAAAAGAACTGGGTTTGTATTGTCATTCTGGGTGACTTTGGACAACAATATCTCTGCATACTCATTTCCCTTATCAATCAACTAAGGTAGTTGAATGACTCAATACCAAGGTCTTTTCTAACACATTTCTGGGGTTGTTTTGCTATTTGTTCAAGGGCAGGATGTTTTGATAATTAAGTGAATTTTAAACACCATAATAATACTTTGGATATATGTATTTTTAAAATAATTGTAAAAGGCAACTTCGTAACCTATAATTGACTGTTTAATATTTCACCACCATGATTACACAAGGTCAGAAATACTCAGAAGCAATCACTTCTATGAACAATAGCTTGTGAGGAAACTGCTTTATCATTATCCAGTGAAAGTGAACTCATAACCCTTGAAAATTCTCACCTGCTAATAGAAATCCAATCACGACTGTTTACATGGCTCAGGTCACCAGATAATGGCCTAATTTACTACAATGAATAGACTGCCTCATTGCATGACAAAGATTCCTCCAAACACAAATCTGGTACTGATTAAAAGAAAAAAATTGGAGATTTTCTACTCATAAAATTGTTTATTGGTGATTTGGAGTTAACTTTATGGATCAGATATTTGACGATGAATTGAATTAGCCATGATACCCCACTTTCTATAACAAAGAAGAAAAATGAGGAAAATAGCATCATCCAGTTTGAGGGTAGATTTTTTTTTATTCGCTGTTTTGTTGTTTTATTCTGACTCGACTCTTTTTTTCCACAACTTTGTTCTCTGCTCTTCAGTTTCTAGGAACTTGTTCAATTTAGGACCAAATAAATAACTCATAAAAGAGTAATATTTCTATACTCTTTTTTTAGAACTGCATTGCTAAATCACCACTGATCTGACCTGATTATTTATTTCTCAGACTTGCTGGTTTAATTTTGTGATGCATTGGTCCTTATACATATTCTGTCTTGATCCTTGTCCCTTCCCCTTCCCCTCCCCTCCCCCTTGTCTCCTCTATCTCCACGTTGGTTTAACTCGATTCACTGATCCTTTCTATTGTATGTTTAGTCTTTTCATTCATTTTTGCCCTGATCTTGATCATTTCTTTCCATCTATGAGTTTCAGATTTTTTTTTTTTTTTTTTTTTTTTTTTTGAGACAGGGTCTCACTATGTAGTTGAGACTTACCTGGAATTCACTATGCAGCCGAGGCTGCTCTTGAACTCACAGCGATCCTCCTGCCTCAGCCTCCTGAGTGCTGGAATTACAGGCATGCGCCACCACGTCTGGCTATGAGTTTCAGGTTTGGATGGTGCTTGTCTAAGTCCTTGAGGATGCATCATCACATTATTTATTTGGGATTTCCCTCTTTTTATGTGTGCATTTATAGCGATAACCCTCCTTTTAGAACTGCTCTCGTCATGTCCCATAGGTTTTGGTATGTTGTGCTTCCGTTGTCATTTGATTCTAAGAACTTTTTCATTTCTTCCTTGATTCTTCGGTGACCCACTGATTATTCAGTAATGTATTACATAACCTTAACATATTTGTATAGCTTCTGTTACTTTTATTGCTGTTGATTTCTGGCTTCACTCTGCTGATCCCATGGTATGCAGGAGATTATTTCAATTATTTTATATTGATTTAATCATGTTTTATGGTCTAAGAAATGGCTTACCATGGACACAGTTTTGTGTGCTGTTGAGAAAAAAGTGTTGGTGGATTAAAAAAAGAAATCTGTAGATTTATGTTCTTTTTTTTTTTTTTTTTGACGGTGTGGTTTAACGCTAATGTGTGTTCATTGATTTTTTTTTGTCTAGTTGACCTGTGTAATCGCAAGAGTGATGTGTTGAAGTTCCCCATTATGACTGCATTGGTGTCTATCTGTCCTTTTAAGTTCAGTAGTTTTTGCTTTATGAAATTGGGTGCACATGAGTTTAAATATTGCCTTGTTTCTTTTGTGTGAGAAACCCAAGGGCAAATAAGGAGCAAAATGGAAGATAGACATTCGGAAGTAAAAACACGCTCAGATGGGAAGGGGAACAGGGCAGGAAGTAAGGGAAACGAGATTTTTAAAAGAGCATGGAAGGAAAAAATGGAAACAAAGTTTTTTTAAATTGGGAAGGGGTGAAAGACTGAAGGGAGGGTGTGTAATGGGAAATAAGAATTAAGATATATCATGTACAGGTACAAATTCCCTATGATGCATATGAACCATTATGTAAGGGAAATGTATAGCACTAATTAAAAAAAAGAGACAGGGTGTGCAGACATTTGCTGCACAGATACTAACAATTGTTGTCTCCTTCCATTGAATCATGCACCTTATCAATATGTAGTAGCCATCTTTGTCTTTTCTGTATGGTTTTGGCTTGAAGTTTTCTGTGTCTGAAAACATATCTACTCCTGCTTACTTTAGCGTCCAGTTAAGTAGAGTTTCACTTTCCATTCTTTCAATTTCAATCTCTGTATTTCTTTTTGGATGACAAGTGCCTCCTAGAGGAAATATATGGTTGCATTCTGTTTTATCAGATCTACCAGCCTTCACCTTTTGATTGGAGAGTTGACAACATTGATATTTGTAGTTATTATTATAAAGTGTTTGTTGAATATGTTTTTGCATCTTGTCAGTGCTGATTCTTTTTCTCCCCTTTTGTTTAACGACTCTCCCAGCTAAATGTATACTTCCTTTTGGGTTCATTGGTGGTGGCGTTCTCCGTGTCTCTGTCTAGGATTCTCCTATGTATTTTCTACAATGCTGGTTTAGTGATCATGTATTTCTTTAGGATTTCTTTGTTGTGGAAAGTCTTTACTGATCCATCAAGTTTGATGGCTAATTTTGCAGGATATAAAAGTCCGGGTTGACAAATATTTCTTTTAGGCTTGAAAAATTTCACACCAGGATCTCCTAGCGTTTAAGTTTTGTGCAGAGGAATCTGTGGTTATTGATAGGCTTGCTTTTATAGGTTTCTTGCCATTTTTCACAAACAGCTTTTAATATTCTCTTCTGTTATTGAATTTCCGGAATTTTGATGGTGATGTGTTAAAAAGAGGTTAGGGTTCTATATGCTACTTGACTTGAATACTACCTTCTTATCCTACATTTGGAAATTCTTCTATGATTTCAATCATTATTCCTTTTGGGTTATCTTCTGACATTTGCTTTATTTCTATAATTCTGAGGGGCTTTTTTAGTCATGTAATAGTTTTTGAATCCACCTAGCATGGTTTCTTGTTTTGGGATATCACTAAGTTTATGAACTACTATTTCAACCTTATCATCTATTTATGATGTCCCTCACATTAGTTGTCAGCTACTCATGTTTGCCACTGAACTTTTTATATAATCTATCTCTGGTTGCTTTCTTTTCATATGTTCTAATTATCTTCAAAACTGGTCATTAATGTCCTGTATCACCTTGCTTAACTCAGTTAGTTTACTGTTTGTTTCCTCTATAAGCTCACTGAACATTTTATTGGTAAAATATTGTATCCATTTAATTAAATCCTTTTGAGCTCATTAAATGTCTTATGTATTTGCTTATATGTTTCTTCTTTTATGTCTTCAAACATTTTGACCATGTAGTTCCTCAGTTATTTGCCTATACAGTAAGTAGCTTCCTCTGCTGAAGGGTTCATGAGATCAGTTTTTGAGTTGGGGGTTTGAGTGAGCATTGTGCTGCCCTGCCCTCTCATGTTTCCATTGTTTTTGTACTGCTGAAGATCAATTAGTGTAGACTCTGCCACTACTTTGGAGATCTCTTTCATTAGGTTCTATCTCACAGTGATGCGTCCTTGGATTACTGATTATACGCCTCTTCAACCTTTTCAGCATAATATTTGAGGATCTCCATAGTGTCCAACCTTCTTCTGGGGAGTTGAGGAGAAAACCAGGCTGGGGGATTTAGCTCAGTGGCACTGCACCTGCCTGAGCTTGTTCATGAGTTTGATGCCCAGGACCAAAAAAAAAAAAGAGGAAAAAACAAACCACAGTGAGGTTGACAATACAAGAACAAACCAGATATTGTCACACAGTAAAAAACAATTGAAAACAATAACTGTCCCCCTTAACTATGGAAAATAAATCAGCAATAATAATAGGGTCAAAGACCAATAACGGTTATAATGGTATCATCTTTAACAATAGGAAAGAGATCTGCAATAAGATAAACATAAATATAAACCAAATACTGGCATATAAATATCTATTAAGTCAATAACTATACCACCATTTACAATAGAAAATAATTCAACAACAGTACCATAAAGTAGTGTGGTGGACCTAGAGCACACATGCTGCAGTGGACTGCTGGTTATCACTGAAAGCTCTAAAAGGCTTACCTTCACTGCCAAAGGGTAAATAGCTAAAACTTTGTAAAGATTGATAATAATAACAATAAAACTGGAGGTGATGGAGTAAGCGGAAAGTGAAAGAAAATAAAATTTGAAAAAGAAAGGGAGGCAGATGAGAAGAAATTGAGATTCTTTAAATCCAATTAAAGATAAAGGAACGTTAATAAAATCAGGTCAAAATAACAGAAAAGGACAAATAGGAAAAAGAAAGTAAACATAGGGGAGGAAAGAATAAAAACAAAGAGCCAGGGAAAAAGAAAAAGAAATGAGTCCAAAAAATCCCTACATGTGTTTAGGTGAGTGGTTTCTTTTCAAGGCTATACTGGAATCCATCAGACATGGATGGGGAATAGTGAGTCACAGTTAGGGCCTATTTTGTTTCCACACCAACTTTTTACTATTTGAATGCTGAGTCTTGCCCCATCTTTCCCAGTGAGCATGGTCAGTGTGGTTTGCCTCACAGCTATATTCACTTCAGTGGCTGTTTGTGCTTTAATGCATTCCAAGTCACTGTTATCTTTGACTATTTTTATGGCCTGTGCGCTTGCTCCGAAGGTCTCTCTGTCCATACACCCCTGACCATGGCAACTGTCCAAGCTGAGGCATGTCCCTGATCACATTGGTGGGAAAAGCAAACTGACCACTGAACTTTGTGCTGTACGTAGGCAGCAAGTGTGTTAAGCAGTCACTGGATATAATGTCAGCACCCAGCTCCCAGAAGGTGGGATTGCCATGTCTCTCACAACCTGAGCACACTGCTACTTTAACTTCTCAGAATACCCACAACTAGCCCACCACTGCTCTGTCTGTCTCCTGTGTCTCTTGTGGTAGGAAGATCCCAGAGACCATAAAATTATGGTATTCTGTCACTTCTAATTATAGTCTTAAAGAATAGATCCCTTCCCAAAATGGTTTCTAATTATAACACTCCCAAATATGGCAGATACTTGCAATGTATTTCTTCTCCAACTTTAGTCTACTGTGCAGGAGGAGTCACTTTTAGAGTAAAATTCCGCAGTGTATTTGCAACTTACAATATCATGGGCTTTTCTTGAGGCTAGTGATGTCAGTCTGTTGTTTCTCCTGGGGGCTGTGCACACTCTCTAAGCTTACCTTATGTTTGTAGAGACAGGACCTCATCTCTGGGAGCTGGGGTTAGCAATCCAGGCTGCCTTGTTTTTTCTCTGTGTTGTCTTCAGTTTTTCTGTAATTCAGCTTTTTTTATTTCCAGAGCTCTACTTCTTGTTTTCTTCTCTAAGGTTTTGTTTTCCAGGTGCCTCTATTACAGGTTTCAGAGAGGCTATACAGTCTGTACTCCACCATTTCTAATCCATTGGCTTGATTCTTAAACTGTTTTCATAAAGCAGAGATATTTTTTCACATATAATGTAGCCCCTCTTTCCATAAGCTGATTATAAAACTGTGTTTTTAAAGTGGAGGAGATATATGAAATATATATATGGAACATAGTTTTCTTTATCACCATTATTTTCAAATAACCTAGTTTTCATTATGCTCTTATAATCAAGCAACAAGAAAGCAAAAATATATATGGAGAGAAAAAGAGAGTCCACCAAAAAATGTAGACACACTTCAGCAGTTGGTCATATTAATAAATATCTGGAAGCCAATGACCACCACCTTGTGCACCTCTTGTAATTGTACAGCCCAGCAGTAACTTGAATTAATCTGATGATGTCTCAATAAATTAGTATTAAAATACTGATACAAGTTTTTCTTTCCCTGATGTATATATATTTTTGGCAGACTCTACATATGTAATCAGTAAAATAATTAAATATTTATGTTGGAACATAGCAGGGACTATTCACTATAATCCTAATTAGGTTTAAATCTGAAATATCTGAGTGATGTTTAATTATCTTAATGCATAAAGTTGCACTTATTTGCCTTTATTACTCAATACGCATAATTTTTCTTAGTGGCAAATAATGAACCAACTTGTCAATAATTTCACACTAAAAATGTCAGATTTGGAAGAGAGTACAATTTGAGGCTGAAATTTTAAAGTTTTTAGAAATGCCGATTTCTTCCCCTGCTTTAAGAAGGAAATGGTCACACACAGATTTAGAATTTTGCGAAACTTTAGACAGTCACTTTTTCTTTTATTTTTTTAAGGCTTTTTAAAAAAACGACTAGCTTAAGAAGTGAAAGGTGAATTTGAAACAAAGCATTGCTCTTGAATCCTTCATGATTTTCACATCAGGCTATAAAATCCCTAATTCTATGTTGAAATGTATGAACTTTGCTGGAAACAAATTTCCAAATGTAAAACATCACTGTTTGCAAAACAATGTTTTACCCCCATGTAGTAAAACTTAAATTTTAAAACTTTAATTGTTAAACTATAAAAATAAATATTTCCGCCAACAACATGTCACCACATTGCCTACCTTGGGCAGCAGCATCACATCTGAGTCCCTGTGACTGATGTCCCTAGGGCTACACTGCCTTTCACTTCCAGGGTCCTTATCTCTGGCAACTGCATGCTCAAGGTCATAAAAATCCTTTCTCAAGAGTAAACCATTAATATTTATTGACTAGTAGTTCCCATAGTAATACAGTCAGTCAGCTGAATATTGGTAGCATATTAAGTGACTCAGACACTATAATTTCTAAATACAGGCTGAATATCTTTTACTTGAAAAGCTTGGGACCAGTGACATTTCATACTTTGTTCAGATTTTGGAATTCTCTACGTACATAATGAAATACCTTAGCAATGGCACCCGAATCTAAATGGAAAATCCATTTATTTTTCATTTACATCTCATACACAAATACTTTTATGCAGTATTTTTAGTATACCTGCCTTTTGATTTTGACCCATCACATAAGGTCAGATGTACAATTTTCCACCTGTAGCAGTTCAGATTTGGGATGTTCATAATAGGGATGTTTGACCAAAGGTTGAATACAAAAGGAATAGATATTTGACGATCTTTGCATTCACTTTTTGAGGAGAGCTTGCCAAATCAGACTTGTAATTCAAATTCACAACACAACAGTGTTACCACACCAAGCCCATTTTGCTTGCCTCACAGTATGTTAATCACCAAAACAACCTGTTTGCAAAAGAGAGTTTATTCATACGATAGCTGAGTTCAGCTGGAGAGATCCACACCTCAAACTTCCATCCCCAAGGTAAGGTTTAGGGATATCTGTGGAATAAAGCAGAGCGATATAAAGCACAGAGTTAAAGTGACTGGATGTGGAGTCATCAGTGGTCTGCACATGAGTATTGGATCTCTACTATGGCTCTTCATGGAATACATGTTCAGAAAATGGCAGCATTAGCATGATCTTGGGGATGGCATTCTTGGCCTCCTGACATCAGCAGCTCACCCATCAGATGCCTGCACAGGCCCAGGTAAAGAGTCAGTAGTTTCAGTTATAGAAAGTTCTTCAAGTACCTGAAAAGTAACCTAGACAACCATTATCATAAGTCACATATCAGAGGCATTGTCTACAGAAAAGCTAGTAAGAGACTATTAACTAGAAGTTCAAATTATATTTGAGTTATTTGAGTCAATGTTCAATTCCTAAAATTTGTCTTTCTTGTTGCTTAATTATAAGAGCATAATGAAAGCTAGGCTACTTGAAAACAATGGCGATAAAGAAAACTGCCAAAAAATAAATACGCACAAGTCATTTTTCTACAGATTTTATTTTTATTTTTTTATTAATTAATTTTTGGTACATTTAAGGTATATAATATAGTGACATTTATCATTGGAAATTTGCACCTTTAAATAATCCATCTTGATGGGAAGAAAGGAGCTAAAGGTGTAGGGAAGGTGGGATGGGTAGGGGAAGAGTAAAAAGGGAAAAGAAATAAATGTGAGAGAATGAAAAGATGAAAATAAAGTGTTTGTAGATGGGGAGGGGAGGAGGGGGTGAAGGGAGGGCAGAGGTAAGGGGAAAAAATGAGAACCAAGACTTGTCATGTAGAGGTACAAGATCCCAACAATGAATG